GCTAGAATCATAATGAGATAGTTAAGTGCATGTAATTCATAGCTTGAAACGTAATGCGATAGTTAAGTGCATGTAATTCATAGCTTGAAACATAATGCAGTAGTTAAGTGCATGTAATTCATAGCTTGAAACATAATGCAGTAGTTAAGTGCATGTACTTCATAGCTTGAAACATAATGCGATAGTTAAGTGCATGTAATTCACAGCTTGAAACATAACGTGATAGTTAAGTGCATGTAATTTATAACTTGAAACATAACGTGATAGTTAAGTGAATGTAATTTATACATTGAAACATAACGTGATAGTTAAGTGCATGTAAATTAAGATGAGAATGTAGTTTACTTGCACTTTTGACACATATGTTTCAAAGTGTTTTGGCTGAATGCAGTTGAAACAAGAAATAAAATTGGTCAACCCCTGACAGGTGCCACGCCCACCTTCTGTAGTTTAATGCGGAGCTTTAGAAGCCTTCATGTACTGTCAACATGTACGTTTTATAATAATTAGAAAGAGCTCATTTTACACCATAATCCAACAACAGTTATTTATTAATTAACTAAAATGTAAAAGTAATATCTAAATACAATTTTACTGTCTCTATAACTATAACACATTTAGGAAAGAAACTACTGAAGTGCAATAATGAACAAAGCAGCCAACAACAGTACAGGTAGTTACATCTACCCAATTTTAAAATATATGTGGTTGCATTATAGTCTAAAATGAGCTCATTATTTCTTTCAATGTTGTTTTTGAAATAAAGGAATAAAAACTATGATAATATAAAACTTTAAACTATAACATACTTGATAATATATTTAATTGAATTTTTATTGTAACTCAGTGACATAAGCAGAAAGGAATTTAAAAAAGTGTGTTTTTGTTAAAAGGTTAAAGTACTTTATTATTATGATATACAGATATTCTTGGTATCAACACATGGCTAATAATCCAAATTTTAATATAAGTATTAAGTTCTTAATTTTATATGGCATTTTATAAAAATATTCTCAATTTCCCATAGTATGAAAATTGTGATATTTCCTCTCTAGGTATCCCTTTTTCTATAATTTATGTACAACTCGTCCAAGAAATATGAAATTTCATGTAAAATTACTCATTATAATGTTGTCATCTCTCAGGCAAAGCATAATTTTTATAGCTTTCAATCTTATTTGGTTACAGAGCCATAACTCGAAAATCAGACTCCTCTTGCCATGCCCACCTATTTCAATCTCTCTTTCACAAATTTCCAGTAGTTCTCTCTGATGTTTAATACTATATTGTTCTATTTTGTCTATTTTGCTTCCAGTTCAAACTTTATTCCCATGGAATACATGTTGATGAGCTTAGCTGAGTTTTTAACTTCTCTTGTTGCATAGTTTGAGAGCCAGAAAAATTAAGAAAGTTATAGAATATTATCTGCTTTTTGCATGTGATTATTCTTTATTCTTTGGAGCATTATTTAATTAAATAAAAAATTATTTAGTGCAGCAGTAAGATTAGTATATAAAAAAGTAGGCTTAAATTTCTTCAACAGCAAAGAAAAGAAGACCCTGGTAAGTATTTCTTGTTTTTCATAAGTATTCTTTAGTTATAAAATTCTAATTTCTAAATATTCTATAAAGTATTCTAATTATGAAAATTAGGAACTTTTTTGGCTAGATTAGGTAAAATATAGAATAATAACAATTTTTCTCAAGATATGCTTGTGAGCAACTCACGAGTAGCCCGTACATTATGTAATTTGATAAGCTAATGTGAGCTACATGTTTGCCAAACGATTTACAACTTGTGTGGCAGGAATATTAGTTAGACACAGTTTGATGTGCAATAAAATAATAATAGTAGGAACAGGTGTTTACTGTTACAAATATAAAGCTATTTAGGATAAACACAAGTAGTTTCAGTTTGAAGTCATTCTAGAAAGAAAGGAAGGTTAATTTGGATTTTTGTGGTTAAGAGGTCGGTCAAATTGACCAACTTTGTATAGATTTAGGGTTGAGAAAATAACAAATAAAATATAAAGTTTTATTGAAAAAAAATGTTTGAAATTTATTTATGATGTTTTAGAGTACACTAAAGAAATTTGAAATTTTCCAGATGAACAAAATGTTTTTAATCTTAATGTGAAAATCGCTTTGTACATGGAACATCCAACATTTGACTCCATATGTTCATGGAGAAATTTTTAGTGAAAATATTTTATTAAAAATTCATATCTTTTGTCTACAAAAGTCTTAATGATTATTGAATGCTTGTGATCTTTTGTAAAGATACACAAAACATATTAGAAGTTATAGTGTGGCTATAATGGTCAATTTGGGATCGTGAAATGGGATGATTTAGTCGAGCCCATAGGGAGAGAGTTTAAGTAATATAACCCCACATCATTCTCAGTATATTATTCAGACTCTTATCTATACAGTTTCTAATGTGTGCATCTCTGAAATGCATTCCCATGAAATTTGTGTGGTAACCTGGAAATAAATATGTGCATCCTAACCACTTAACTATTGTGACCAACAATGATACTGTTAGGATGGTACATAATAATGAACTTAACTATTGTGACCAACAATGATACTGTTAGGATGGTACATTATAACAAACTTAACTATTGTGACCAACAATGATACTGTTAGGATGGTACATAATAACAAACTTAACTATTGTGACCAACAATGATACTGTTAGGATGGTACATAATTTATTATTATGTACCATCCTAACAGTATCATTGTTGGTCACAATAGTTAAGTTTATTATTATGTACCATCCTAACAGTATCATTGTTGGTCACAATAGTTAAGTTCATTATTATGTACCATCCTAACAATATCATTGTTGGTCACAATAGTTAAGATTATTATTATGTACTACACTCTCCTTATGGCATAGCAGTAAATCTGAAGGCTTATGAGTTTCTTCAGTATCCATGGTGGGCACAGCAAAAGTAGCACATTGTGCAGTTTTGTGGCTGTCTTCAACCACAATTATGTACCATCCCTAATGGTTTTAGGTTTGGTGGTAATAGTTAAGTTAGACACAACAGTTAAGTGCATAACCAGAACTAACACTATAAACAACTGTGATCATTTTGTAGGCCTAGGTTATCTCATTTTGTTAACATGAATTAGTGGAATTTATCAATTAATACAACAATCATCATCTTTTCACATAGCCTACTATATTATAGTCCTGTACTTAGTTTAGTTGAAAGATTGAGTTATAGCTGCATGTTAATTATATTTCTGTACCAACTTTCTAGATTTTATAATAAATGAAACCTACTAATATTTCATAAATGATGTACGCATACCACTGCAACAATGAAAATTTTGACTTGCATTCAATAAAAGTTACTTTTTAGTAATTATCAGTTAACACTGAATTTGTTGATAATGCTCATCTGTCTGTATTAATCCCATTTTCATTGTGAAATAACTGGGACAAGTTATGGAAATATTTTACGTTAATTGTTTTGTAAATCTAAACAGTTTGAACTATGATCAAAAGGTGTATAATACTTCTATTAACATTATTTTGTCAAAACTACTTAGCTGTTATAGTTTGACATTCATAGTTGAAAATTATTATTTATAATAGTAAGGATTCTCACTACAAGTTTCAGTCCTATGACTACAACCAAACTGAGAGAAATGTTTCTTAAAAGTGTAGTCACTTAAACACTGTAGAATAATTTTATTTTTGTTCAAAAAAATTTAAATAATTTATTTCAAGAACAGGCAAAAGAATAAAAGTGGAGAAGTTGCCGTAGAAAGACAGTCACTGGTTTTTATATTATTTTGTACAAAATATGCTGTAGTAAGTTATATGCTGTATATTTATGTGTTTTAATGTGTGGATTTGAAAGCAGTAAGAAAAAAAAATATTTCCTGATGTTTCAGCCATCCAGTAACTCAGTGGTAAATCTGAAGACACATAATGCTAAAACCTTGGTTTCGATACTCCTGATGAGCATAGCACAATTGGCCCCTTTGTGCTTAACAACAAGAAAAACTGAATGTTTCAATAACAGTGAACAAATCTCTTACAAAAACTTTTGTTATTTTGTTCACAACCTAATGATGCCTGGTGAACATTGTGAACAACTTAAAACAAACGTTTTACTATGTACAACAGATACAAACTTGTGTGGATTCTAATAATATAGTTTTGTTCTGATATTTAAGTTAAGTCCATTTTGTTCTCTGTCAAATAGATCCCCACACCACCTCAACTTCAAGAAGATTTTGTTATTGTGGAAGCCAAAGATTGTAGCATTACAGGAGAACCTACTGATATTGAAGAGATGTACAGAAAACTGGAACGTGACTTGTCCCAACAAATACAGGTGATCGATAGGATCTTTTGTCAGAGAGTATTTCTCTTCATATTATCTAGTAGTGACTAAGATTTTTTTATCAGAACTTTTAGAGATAATTTAGGAAAAGTTAGGTCAGCTGTAAAAATATGTTATTTCTCAATCATTGTCAGCTTTAGCTCCTGCCCATTCTTGTTTCCACCATTTTCACTGATTATTGATGCACAGTGTGTTGATTAATAGCCATTTGTGTTTTCAACTGATAAATAACAAAGTATTTGTTAACGATAATCATCAGTTTGTCTGATAAATTACATATTTGTTAATCGTGGCGTGACTTAGTGACCATTTCTTTGGTATTTACATTTCCTGTAAATTAATGATGAGTAAATGCTAAGTCTGTTATTCATAAGAATTTTGCTTCTGAATTTTAGGTCTAGACAGCATTTAATGGAATATAAATGTAAAATGTCTGAAGTTAATTTGTAGAATGTGCTCAGTTTGACTTTAAAAATACTCATTATTAATATTAACTTCCAATCCGAGAAAGCTTTGAATTAGAAAGAAACTAAAAATCAACATTGAAATCAGTTGTGCTAATTAAATATAGTTGGTTACATTCCTACTTATAAAGATTAGAATGCATTGTATTTTTGGGTTGGGTACCCTCACTATTAAAAGGTAATAGTATTTGATATATTAAACAATCTAACCAATAATGTAAATGAAAGTAACAATAAATAAATGGTATAGTATACCTTACTTAGGGAACAATCTAACCAATAATGTTAATGAAAGTAACACTAAATAAATGGTATAGTATACCTTACTTAGGAAACAATCTAACCAATGTAAATGAAAGTAACAATAAATAAATGGAATAGTATACCTTACTTAGGGAACAATCTAACCAATAATGTAAATGAAAGTAACACTAAATAAATGGTATAGTATACCTTACTTAGGGAACAATCTAACCAATAATGTTAATGAAAGTAACACTAAATAAATGGTATAGTATACCTTACTTAGGAAACAATCTAACCAATAATGTTAATGAAAGTAACAATAAATAAATGGTATAGTATACCTTACTTAGGAAACAATCTAACCAATAATGTTAATGAAAGTAACAATAAATAAATGGTATAGTATACCTT